TAATGTGGTAACGAGCCTAGATCCTATCCTATCCACCTTATTTTTTTAGCTTGGCCATTTGTAACTGGAAAGTGTCATTCTTTTTTTTTCCAGCCATAATATAACATTATTTAAATATTTATTTTTCATATTCTATGCAATTATTATTATTATTTTTTTTTTACAAATCTTAAACTGAATTTACTGCATATATAAGGTATTGTATAGATACAGTGGATATGATTAATCAGTTTCTGGTAATCTTGCACAAATCATGCAAAAGTTACCAAGAACTATGAACTTAACACAGACATGGTTTGTAAATACTGTAATTGCACCACACCAGTCTCAAAAAAATAGCATAGTATTTAATGTTTATTGTTTCCAAAATTAGGCTTCATGTTCTTTATGCAGATTGCTAAATGTTTTTTTGCATCTGCTGAACACTGCAGTGATTATTACTCTCCAATCATAAAACAATGAAGCTATAGACTATAAAAACTAAAAACAGGCACACTAAAAAAAGTATAAAGTCTTTCATCATTTACTCACCCTCATACAAAAGTGGATATTTAAAGATATTTAAAGCTGTTTTCCACGCAACAAAAGTCCATAGTCACCACAACTTTTAAGCCATAACCATAACTCCAAAATGTGCAAAACATCATATTCATTCATTGTTCTGATTTTGGTCTGAAATAAGATTGATTCAGAGCCGGTCATGTTGCATACTTCATTTTTGACAGGAATGAAAACGAGGCTGTGAGAGACTGAATTATAGCATGTTTAGTGGATTGTACAGCTGAAGAAACAACACTAGTAAAGAGTGCTTATGTTTAATCTGTTTAACAAAGTCTTTAGCTTGTATTAATGATAAACGAAATGAACACTGGCTTCAGGAGCTGTTTGTCCGGTCACTTTCAGACCTTCAGCGCTTCCGAAAAGCCTTTAAAGTAAAAAGTGCAGCAATATTCCTAACTAACCTTCCATCATCCGATAATCTTGCTTTCGCTGCAGCCGCGCTCTCCAGCTCCCTGGACTCCTGGTCTCCATCGGTAACCATTGCCATGGTAACCATGCAAAGGTAAGTGGAGAAGTTGAGCAGGAGGCTTTGGCAATCGTAAATACACGAGACTCGGCCAAGAAAAATATGACTGCAGTGTCACCAAAGTATGACAAGTAAAAACACAGATCTTTGTTTCTTCTAAATCACTGTCAAATGCATTTAAAAGCCAGCAAGTTTAATTTAAAGGAAAGCAAATTGCACTGACTATGCGTTGGATTCTGGAGCCTTATTCTGTTTTTTGACAAGACAAATGCACTTATTCAATTTGCTCGTGAATCATCCATGAAGTGTCGCATGATCAAAAAAGGAAAGAAAAAAAACAAAAAATTGTGATTGGCATTATTCAGCAAAGAGCCATTTATCATGCACCAGTCAGATGAGCATAGATGGTGAAAAGATGAGATGGCAGGCCTGCTTTATGGCAAAGTAATATAAAGAAAATTAATAAATAAAAATAAATACATTCATGGATGGATGGATGGATGGATGGATGGATGAATTGATTGGTTGTATTATTAAATTCAGGAAAAAAGAAACAAAATAAATACATTTAATGATTCCAAAATTAGGCTTAATGTTGCAAATTGCTAAATGTTTTTGTATCTACTGAACTCTGCGGTATGGAAGCATGTTTCTGCCACTAAACAAAAAACAGACAAACAAATTAAGCAAATTATAAACACATTTTTTTTTTAATCTCACAATTCTGACTTTATTTCTCAGAACTACGAGTTTATTTCTCAGAATTGTGAATTTATATCAAGCAATTCTGAGAAAAGTCAGAATTGCAAGAAAAAAATAATTGTGAATTGTGAGATAAAAAGTAGCTTTTTCTTTTTACATTTTTTTATTCAGTGCCGGAAACGGCTTCCATACTACAATGATTATTATTGTCCAGTCATGAAACAAACTAAACAACAACAAAACAACTAAAAACTAGTACACTAAACAATACAAAGTCTGTCATCATTTACTCGCCCTCATACAAAAGGAGGTATTTAAAGAAATGTGCATGCAGCTTTTCCATATAACAACAGTCCATAGCTTCATAAAATGCAAGTCCACAGCTACTGCCACTTTGAGAGTCAAATAAGCATATACAGGCAACACAAAATTAATACCCAATGGCTCCTGATGATATATCAAGGTCTTATGAAGCAAATCAATCAGTCTGTGCAAGAAACTGAATATTATTTGCAACATCTGTAATCCAGAGCCTCAGGCAAACACTCCAGAGTGATGTCTGGTTTGCGAACAAATCATTATTTTGAACTGGTTCTTTTTTGTGAACTATTTGCACCAGTTCACCATATCGGACTGAAATGCTACTCAATCAAAACTCAACTGCATACACCTGACAGTCACTCAGACCTGAAATGAGCCAAAATAGAGACGTATCTGATCCTATGATGAATGAACTCATTCAGCGCTCCAGTTC